TATATATATATTTTTTGGAACCTCTCGGTCGGGTGGATTTACAGGATTCGGCCAAAGAAGCGGGTGATAGGGAGAAAGTTACCTTCACAACAGTGAGCTCCCGTTGTTGTCTCCGATCAAAATGTATAACTTCCTATATATATATTTTTTGGAACCTCTCGGTCGGGTGGATTTACAGGATTTGGCCAAAGAAGCGGGTGATAGGGAGAAAGTTACCTTCACAACAGTGAGCTCCCGTTGTTGTCTCCGATCAAAATGTATAACTTCCGATCCGACAGAGAGGGGGAGGCGTCGATGGGAGCGAAGTCGCACAGCTACGGGGAGTCGAAGAAGCCACGAGAGGTAGAAAGTTATCTTCACAGACGGTGAGCTCCTGTTCTTACTCCCGATCAAAATTTCGACTTCTGATCCTACGGGCAGAGAGAGTCGTCGAAGGAGCTTGGTCGTTCAGCTTCGGGGAGCCGGAGAAGAAGCACGAAAGGGAGGAAGTTACGACCACAGCAAGCAAGCTCCCTTCCTCACTTCCGATCAAAATGTCCGATCTTCCGCTCCGACGGGAAAGGGAGAAAGTTAACCCCACAGCCTGCGAACTCCTGTTGTTGCTTCTGATCAAAACGTCGCAACGTCCGATCCGACTGGAAGGGAAAGTAGCTCGAAGGAGCGGAGTCGAGCGGCGTCGGAGAAGTAGCGAGAGAGGGAGATCGGGAGGAGAGTTCGCAGGAGAGCTCGGAGAGGGAGTGTTCGCGCGAGAAGAATGAGAGAGGGGTTGTGTGTGTCGAAGGGAGAAGAGAAGCGGGTATTTAACGACGAGAGCGATCGTTCGATCGAGGCAACGTCGCGAGATTTCGGCAGATTTCACGGAGAAACGACGCAGACGGCGCTGTTGCAGAGTGTCTTAGCGGGATTCCTTGCGGTATTTATGAGATTCGCTCAGGTATTTCGACGGTGCCGAGGTATTGAGCGGGATTTCGGGGATTTGCGGCAGAGACAGGTACGTTGATTTTTTTTTGTTATTACATGGAGGTCAACAAATGCCCCCCCGCTCAGGTATTTCGACGGTGCCTAGGTATTGAGCAGGATTTCGGGGATTTGCGGTAGAGACAGGTACGTTGATTTTTTTTTGTTATTACATGGAGGTCAACACAAACTTTCGTTGAGGTAATGACCACCTTTTATTGTCTGCAAACTAAATTCTAAGAGAACAGACAGTCGCCCCATATCTTTTGTAATAAAACACTTTGTAGGTAATGTTTTACTTCCAAGTTATTGTTATGATGACTCCTAGTGAGCAAGATCTTGCAAACTTAAATGACAAAAATAATAAAATAGGTGGCAATATGGTGAGAAAACATAGAATGATTTATGGTTCTACTATGGAGACCAATATCACCAAGGCGCTGGCAAAATATGTCAAACTAAGCCCATAGACTCCTTTTAAGGACATATATAGCCTTATTGTGTACACAAAAGTGGACCTCTGATGTAGAACGGGAGCGGAGGCTGGCAATAATCTGAAACAATTCCTTTTAGGAAATCTGAAACAGTTCAGATTTTTCTCCCAAAATCTGAGAGATTAGCCGTTGGTGGCTGCAGGAATCTGTGGACAGCAATTTGCTGTGGGTAAAACAGCAACTTGGAAGCTTCAGGTTGCTGGAAACTCCTCCTCGGATAGGCATGGACGGTTGGATGTCCGCATCAATCTCCCTCTTGAACAACATTCCTAGTAGGTTGCTTCATGCAAAGAGCGGCCATTCTCAAAATTAAAAGGCATCAGTAAAATTTAAAAGGCCTAAATTGTGATGAAAGCCCTTGGCAATGGTAGTTAAGGGAATCAAGAAGCATTAATATAGATAATATTAAACAATGATCGAGATATTCTCTAGATTTAGAATAAGGGATTCATCAAATAACCTAAAGTAGTATGCAACTGGAGGTGATCAAGATTATCTCTCTCTAGAAGGGGAGAACTAATAAACAAGAAGTTGATGGTAAACTGAAGAAGATTGAGACAATCTCCCTCCTAGAAGTAGGGGAGAATGAGTGAGCAACATATAGTAGATGACTGGAGTGATTAAGATAATCTTTTTACTGGAATGAGTGGAACCGAATGACCTAAAGATGGTGATGTAAGAAAAATCAAGGAACAACAAGAACAATCGGCTGGCACTCCAGCCAATGGCTTATTTTTATATTTCAATCGATTTTTTGGCTTATTTAATTGAAATTTGTACATTCGTATGAATGATGGATTAAAGAGATCATGCCTCCCCTAATTGGGAAGGTGCTCAGATGATCCAAACCTTAGGCTAACTCGATGAATCCATGGTCTTGGTGGCAAAATACCATGTTAGTAGAGAGAATTTATTTTCTTAGTTTTAAATCAAAGCCTTGCATTGGGTATCCATACCCACACCCACTCATGTACCCACCCATACCCATTCCCAATTAGGGGTACTATGGAGAACTAAAACTTTTTAGAGCATTTTGAGATACAAAAATTTCCATCATAATTAGTGTTGGATGTAATATGAACTTTGTGATCCAAACAAACATATAGCTAAGAATGGATACACTTATATCATGCTACATTTTTGTTACTTTTTTTTTTAATCTCAGCAAAAGGAATCACAAAAAGATATTTATTAGGAAGGGAGCTTCCCGTGAAATAAATCTCAGCATCTATTTCAAACTTTGAATTATCATAGGAATGTGCATCCTTATTATAGTATTTCAGTTGCATCTAATATAGCCATCTGCTTGTCGATTAACCCACTTATAAATGCTACATATCCAAACAGCACCAATAAGAAAACATAGGTATTGGATTTCATATTAATTTAAAGAATATAAAAAAGGAATACGGTAAGAATGCCATAGACAAACAAAAGGAAAAAATAAGAAGCAAAATAAGTAAAAATAACAAAGAAACTTTCTGCAAACAAGTATATGAAACCATTTTATATTATCGGAACATAGGAATTTTTTTTATATCTGCAATTGTTGTGTGATCCAAAATAAAGGGGAGTGGAAAAAAGAATAACCGGTTGATAATTTAATAACTCATTTTGCAACAAACTGGACATCCCAAAAAGTAACTCTAGCAAAAAAAAAAAGTGCCCCTAAGCAATTAGTAAATTCTCATAAAAGTTTTCAACAAACACAACACTCACAATGTTTTCATAACTTCTCAAACACAAATGAGGAAGAACTAGAACACATCCCTTAAAAATCAATTTGTGGAGGGATCTTTTTCAAGGAAATTCCCAGCTTAAATAATAAAGTAGTCTTTTTTTTAAAAAAAAAGAGACACAGAGCACACTGAAGCATTAAAGGAGGAATGCCATTATTATAGAAGGGAGTGAAGAGGTGCCTGTTGCTCTCCCAACTTCATGACAAAATTAACTCAGCGTATGGCAATTGATCCATTTTAAGTACAAACTCTTACAAAATTTGTTTCTGAGATGCAGAAAAGTATGCATAAAAGCAACCGAACAATATAAAAAACGGCTGAAATCAGATGCTCGGATGACCACATCTATAAGAAACGTTCAATCCCGCCTTACAAAAGCAGGCATAAAAAAAGTAAATGCTGAGAAATTGTAGGCAGACAATATAAATGGAAGAAATCTTATTCAACTGTAACCAACTTAATATACATAACATATCAGTCATTCAAAGTTAAAACAGCAACACTAGCAGAAAGAACCGGCAAAAAGAACTAGAGAGGGACAGAGAGAGATGTATATTAGTTCAAGGATCTGTACACAGGCTTAGCTCAAACCATCCTTCACACAGCCGGAATGTTCGCGAAGGAAAAACCCTTGTACCCCTTGTACGCATAGTAGGCTACGCGCGTGTAGTAGAAACCCGGCAAGAAGAGCATCGACCCCAAGATCGCAAAGAAAATCCCTAATTTCGAAAACGGAAGAAAACAAATTAGGTAAAATCAGAGTGGTGCTGAAATCCTAAAGAGCTACTAGATTTGGGGAAAATTGCTCAATCGTTACCGTGGGCACGGTCTCCGCCAGCCCGGTTGTAAGCCATGACAATCCCGATGACGATTCCAAGGACGCCAAAGACAAGGAGAGAAACGGCTAGTGCTATCTCCTTCACCGGCGGCCGGTTCTGAATCACGTAGGAGCTCTCCATCATGATATCCTCGTCCGAGATCGAGAAGGCGTGGTCCACGTACGCCATGGCCGACCTTTGAGCTTCGCCTTGATAGAGAAAGATTGGAATATAAGAAAGGAGAGAGAGCAAAAGCGCTATGACAAAAGAGGAGAAGAGAGGGTTTTCTGCCTCGCCTGCTGCGACGAAAGTAATAAGGAAATGAGAGACTTCCGGTGGCCGTCTTTGGTTAGGTTAATTACTTAATCTTTGGTATGCAGAATTAGGAGGGTAAATTAATTTAAATACATGCATTTGATAAATTAGGTTATTTGGTTAGTTTTGAGTGGAACATAAGAAAATACTCGGACGCATTAGCAGTATATTACGAAGGGTCATTCGAGCGACTTCAAAAATCGCTTAAAATGAGCGGGTTACAAAACCTCTGGCGCCAATTACTACGAACCAGCCTTGTATGATAACTTGCAGCGAGGGACGAGTGGCGGATAGCGACGCAGTGACGAAGGATTCGGTAGATCCGTTGGGTGATTTCAGGCAATCGATGCTTCAGATGATCGTGGAGAAGGAGATCGTCGGCGTGCAAGAGTTACTGGAGCTTCTCCAGGAATTCTTAGCTCTAAATTCACCGAGATACCACAGAATAATTCTTCGAGCATTTTGTGAGATCTGAAACGAAGTTTTCTCCGGCTATGAGAACACCCCCGACTTCCTTGGTACGATTGATACGCCAGTGCGAGGCCTCTGACAACGCACTCTGCCTCATCGCCGCTGCTACTGATCAGATTCCGATTCCCAAATTTCGTTACGTGTACAAATGTGTGAAATTGCTGGTTAGATAGGGTTTTTTTTTCACATTTTTTTTAGTTAATGTTCTTTGAGGACCATAGCCCGATTTCATAGCTAAAATGGTGGCCATGTTAAATTCACCGAGATACCGCCGTTTGTTCTAATCGTGCTTGCAGAAGAGATAATATATTTCTGTCTTAGTTTGCATTATATTGTCTTGTTGTCTATTGTTTTTTATGTTTTCCCGTTCTGTGGAGATTATTTGTTGGCTTAGTTTTTGATGATCTTAATTCCGGTAGATGGCCTTTCAATAAATGTAACTAGAGTTTGGTAATGGGTAAAAATTCGGTCAAGGACTTTTATCGAACAGTTGGTGTGCGTCTCTTAGACAGGTGAATGCTTTGTTGTTTCAAACAATTTTTGAACCCGAAGCTGAGTTAGGTTTTAACGCATGAATAATTTGCAGTCTGATGCGAAATTTTGGCTGTAGTATTGGATATTTTATTCCAAACGGCTTCCGTTTAATTTTGTTTTGAGAGTTTTGCCGTAGAATAGCTGGCGAAATATTAGAATAGTCGATTGAAGTCATTGATTCTAATTCATATTTCTCAGTGGGTAGCTTTATATATTCCTAAGCTTGCTTATTTGGGATATAAATATTAGATTCTTTGATTTTTGTTTTATGATCACATGATCGCCATCGAATCGGCTTTGTTCAAACAGTGGCTGAAGAATATGCAGAGTGAAAAAGGTCTTCTAGCTTGTGGACAAATGCATTTGCAGCATGTCAAAGTTCAGGTAATCTCTGAAGGTTTTTTAGGTACAGTGCTATTTGAAAGAAACTAATTTTAGAAAGAATTACCATAATTAGGGGTGTCAATTTCGGATCACGGGTCGGATTCGGGTCGAACCCGGAACTGACCCGGGTTCAATCGGGTCGACCCTAACCCGACCCGAGTAGGACGATCTCGGACTCCACTCGACAACGGGCGGCGCAGACGCGGGTCAGACTCGGACTCCACTCGACAACGGCCGACGCGACGCGCGACAGCGGCTGTCGCGATGCGACTCGCGAAGCGACGCGGGTCAGACTCGGACTCCGCGCGGGCAGCTTCGGTCAGGGCGGGCAGCGGGTCATTTCGGGTCATTTCCGGGTTTCCGGGTCAACCCGAACCCGACCCGGTTTTTCAAACGGGTCGAAAACTCGAACCCGAAATTTTCGAGTCGGGTCCGGGTCGGGTTTTCGTGTCGTGTCAAATATTGACAGCCCTAACCACAATCCTATCTTTCTCACTATTGATTTTTTTTTTAATTACAGATTTCTGCCATCCATAATTTCAGCAAATAAACTTCCAGAAATATAGATTTCAGTTTGTAGTTGTTGTATTGAAATCAGCAGAACAGAAAAATAAGCCTGCGATTTTATTAAGAACGTTAACGTTGTACATCTACGTTCCGTCTTGCTTGCATTTATAAAAAACAAATTTGAGATTCAAAAATATAATGATTTTATTTTTTACTCGTTCTTCTTTTGATAAGTGCATGTTGCATTTCCATAAGTAAAAAAAAAAAAATACAAATATATTTGTACAACATTATCTGTATTTTCCCTCTGCAAAACAAAAAAAGAAGGAAGATTTTCACTGTAAATTTTTTTCCATATAAAATTATAATTAAGAACAAGCCGTGCACTTGAGAATAACTCCTCGTAAGTCATATTAGTCGTTATAGTCTTGCTGTTTGGAGCTTTGATAAGTTGCAGTTGGTCAGAATCTATAGCAAGATGGACTGGACGGGAATTGATTTATTATGAAATAAATAAATGCTATATCTATTTCAAAAAATAATAAATTATTTTAACCAAATTAAATTAAGCTTGATTTATTTTAAATTGATTGAAGTAAATCTTAACTTAATTCGATTTAGGTTTATATAAATTAAATTAAATAAAAAAATTTATAACACCAAATAATATTAATTATTATAAATAAATTGTTTTTATAAATATACTTATTTTAATGCCAAAATAAATTATTAAAAAAATATGTATACTTTACTTTGGATATACCTAATCAAACAAGGGAAATAATTCTCCTCCGTTTATTTTGCAGATAACCAAATAGGCTCAAAGTATTCAGAATACATTACATTTACTTTACACTGCATTTCTTTTTCAGACAACCAAACAGTAGTACTTGGTCACCTTCATAAAGCAAATAGAAACTTTAATCTAGTTTGTGTATAAAAATAAAAGCAAAAGTGAATCTTAACAAAAATATATCAAGGATTATATATCAGTAATTGCGTTAAGTGGTTTTGTAACTATTTTTTGAAGTTGTAATGTGGTAGCAATTTCAAAATTTTTGAATAAGAAATGTGAGCAATTTCAAAATTTCAAGTATTTACACAAACTAGATTTAAGTTTCTATTTGCTCGTGATGATGACAAGTAACAAATACAATGGTTTTACAAACCTTGTAGAGCCATACACATAACCTATAATAACTTAATTTAAAATTTATATTATCATATAATGTTTATAGTAAAAAATCTATCATATTTATTTATGTGATATATCCCCGTTATTGAGGATATTCTACTTTATTGCATTTGCATTATCATTTTATTCTCTTGCATTTATATAGGAAAATTTGCATTAGCGCCAAATCAACCGAACAAAAATATAACCTTTTAGAATTTTTAATACTAAATAATGGTCATTCCTGTGAGAGAAATTCATGGACTAGAGTTCTCAAAATACCATGTTCGAGTTGAAGCAGTGGGGGAGCGGTGGAACGAGAGTACTAAAATAAGTAGAAGACGAAGGTGATGGCAGTGATAAGGAAGAGGACGATGATGGTGATGATGGTGGTGTAGCTCATTGAAATCAGGTAGGGCAAGTTTGAAGTGGAGAGAAAGTCTATTGCCAAACAGCAAAAGTGACAATTTTAATTCCAATAGAATCTTAGCTGGCATTTAACTTGGATCCTTTTCATCAGATACAAGGTTTTGCTCTGACTTAATCAAAGTACTCTAATAAGCTGAACTAAAATCCAAAACAATGTATGAAATACTGCTGCAAAATGCAATGCACAGATAAGCATGAGGCGTTTTACTCTACTATCATAAACCCTTCTGCCCTTCTTTGTCCAAATCCAATTCAATCATAATTAATTAAAATTGTTTATATTCTAAGTCATTGGTTAATTTCAATTTAATATGATGGTATAATCAATCAATCACTTTTTACTTCAATAAGCCATATTTCAAGGGATGGAGAAAGTTTGACTATTAAAATTAGAGATACATACTTTAACATTTTTTCATCATATGTTGAGAATATGATGGACAATCGCAAGCATTTCTACCTATAAAATTATTTTTTATAACAATATTAGTTGAGATTAAATCAAGATTCTCATATCTCAATGACTGAAAGAGATTGCACCCATCTTTCTGATTAAAGAGTGCCAATTTTATAAGTCATGTGTCTTTAAGAAACTCAAATTAAGACAAAAATACGATAAAATATTTTGGCCAAAATTTTATCAAAATAGTTTTATAACTAAAAAATTTGTTTCGAATTGTACTCATGCATAAAATATATCTTGATCAATTGTCCAAATCAGGAGAAAATATATTTTCATCAGATTTGGGAGAAAAATATAGAAATATAAATTAATATAAATAAACATAGGTTTTTTTTTCTTCTTCTTTTTTACCCTAAATAGGGTTTACCTATCACCATTAGAGCAATTTTCATAATTAGAACAAAAAATATCTACTAAATCTTAGCTTTCTCTCTCACACTTCTCTCCTCTTCACCTCACTATGCCATGCAAAGGAATGGAGAGTGGGACGGGGTTAGTGAGAGTTTTGATAAATGAAATTAGATATTCTATTTAAAAAAAATTAAATATGTTGCCTAACACCGTTGCACTCAAATCCTCAGCACCCCAATGCATCACTCGAACATTTCAAACTCGAGAGATTGGCGTTGCAGCGCTCTTACATAAATTTTCAAGCATGATGAAAATTTCTTATGAATCATTTAACATTTATTAACAAGCTCTTAAGGGGGCAAACTTATAATATATATGTTTAAGACAAACTCAAAACAAATTCTTATATTGCATTATAAGTATTAAATAACAAAATTATAAGCTTTGCATTCTATTTTATATTTTATGATAATGTTGCATTATAACTTTATTTGGATTCCAACATTGATTATTAACTTCCCAATTTAAAGCAAAATTAACCCAATTTGCTATGTTTTACTTGGAATTTTGATTATATAGTTTTTTTTTTTCTTAAGTTTGATTATATAGTTGCTGTGATGAAAGAGTCCAAACTCCAAAGGCTTATTTGCATTTTTATTTGAAGAATTAATAAAATATTTGATA